TTTAAGCCAGCATTTGGGGTGGCAAAAGGGGGTGGTGCATGGTGCATGGTGCAGGGGTTGCCCCTTGGCTAAAAGTCGACACTGTAAATAATTTGCATGCATTAAATATGCAACAAAGCAAAAGAGCACAAAATGCAATATGCTGAGAGTATGCTGCGCGAATGCCATGGATCCGTGGATATAGCCACGTTGCAGGTGTGGCAATGAGCCCCGCGGCTACTGCTCTCCACTCTACTCCAACCGCCCTACCGCTTTCCATATGCATGGAAATCTCGGCTAACAAGCAAACAGTTTGGCCAAAGAAACCGCCCAAACACGAAGCACGAAAGCGAAAGCAGCAACAGCAGCAACAGCAGCAGCAGAAAATGTAATGAACATTCCCGCAGCAAACTAAATTTCTTTCTTTTCGTTGCCTTTCCGCTTTTCCATTGGCTTTTTTTTTTGTGTGTTTTGTTTCCTTTGCTTGGGATTTTTCCCTGCTTTTTTTTTAGTTGCTTCTATGCATATTTTAAAATGCATTGAAATGCAGATAGCGTATGTGAAAGGTAAGGTAAGGCAAGGGTTGGCTAAGAGGTAGGGAAGGGCCCACAGTAAACACTAAACAACTGCCAAAACAAGCCAAGAAATTGTATGTTCAGGGCGGCATTAGATACCCTTACAGATGGAAATATACGCTGACAGTGCCAGCTAAATTCAGGGTAAAACCGAGCGACTCTTTTCGAGTGTACAGCCATGCAAAGATGCTGCTGTTGCTGCCGCTGCTGCACTTGCGACACGTGGCAGAAGTTTTAATGAAACAAAGTGTGGTGGCTGCAACCGGAGGAGGATAGCCGCTCTGTCAGTGGCATGTAAACTGAACCACAGAGCACCCCAAAAAAGAGCGAAGTTAGACGCTGCGCAACCACGCAACGGAAATGAGAAAAGCTAAGCGCTGCATATGCGGGCTGCAAGTGCGGTGCTGTGCGGCTGTGTGGCAGTGTGGCAGTGTGTCTCTGTCCGCTGAAAATAATGCAACAAATTCAGTGCCACGGGCGTTGCAAATGGCGGAGTGTGGCATGCATATTTCAGTCGATTTCTGGCGACAGCAACTCATTGAAAACCGCGCCATGTCGCCGTGTTGCCGTGTCGCTTGTCGCGCGAACAAAATGCCATTCGAATCGCGCGAAGAGTGGAACTGGCAACTGAAACTAAAACTGTTGTCACACACCCCAAGTCGAGGGAGGGGGACATGTGCATCTGATTCCGGCAAAAACAATTTCGAATGCCTCAAATCTAGTGCCGCCACCACATGGCGGGTGAGGGGGTGGCAGTGCGAAATCGAATCCGAGGCAGCCGTGTGGCAAAGTGCTTCGTGTGTTCTCTGTGCCATGATGTGCTGCTGCTGCTGCTGGCCACAGAACTGAGGCCGTTTTTCGCACAAGTATGCCAATGCGTTTCATTTACAAAAGCAAGCGAAAATGCCACAGAGCCAACGATGCCGATGCCGATGCCAATGCCGTTGCCTCCTCGCATCCCCATGAAGAGGCGACACAGCCATTACCTTGTCAGGGGGTAAGCAGCAGCAGCAGTGTGCAGCAGCAAGTGGCGCAGATACTTCACAGCCAGTATTTATGCAACAATGTTGACTGTCCGCCCCTGTCCGACCGCATTGTCATTGCCAGCTAAAACAAGCCTCACCGCCTCATGGAGTGGCGTGGCGTGGCGTGGCATGGGGTGTGGAGTGTGGAGTGGCGTGGCGTGGCGTGGAGTGTTTGTGCAGCAGATAAATTATTGAAGCAACAAACTGCGCTTTTTCTCATCACTTTCGATGCGCGCCATTGTGGTTACGAGGCCACAATCGAGCCAGCTGCCGATGGAAATCAATCAGCATTAAAACGTTGAAAGTCTCCAAAAAAAAAAAAAAAAAAAAACTTGTGCCACATTGTTGAACCGAACACTGGCGCTGTGTGGCGCACTGGGAAGCTGTCGCAGGGTATCCAATGGTTCGACACTCAATGCTGCACGACGTTGCATTCTTGTTCAAATTGAGTTTATTGTGTGGTGGCAGCCCGCTGCCGTTGCCATTGCCGTTGCCGTTGCGGTAAGCAGACGATGCACTCACTCACTGGCAGTTACTCACACACAACCGCAGAGCGCTCTGCATGCTATATGCATTTTTGATGTAAGTGCTCTACACACTCCAACACGCGTGTGTGTGTGTGTGCGTGTGAGCCAACTGGCTGGCGGCTCATGTGACACAGTTTCGCGACACTGCCAGTGCAGCGAGGACACAAAAACCCCATTCGCGGACAGAGAGAGAGTGAGAGAGAGAGAAAGTGTTCGGCGCGGAAGTGGCGAAAGTTTTGTGCCACACGCCACACTAGACTAGAGCTACGTGTGTGTATGTGTGTGTGTGTGTGCGTGTGTGTGGCATGCATTTAAGAACACTTCGAGTTGAGTTCTCTCTCTCTCTCTCTGCTGGCGCCTTTAAGTATGAAACATTATTGCGAGTTGGTCGAGAGACAACGAATAAAGTTTGTCGTTGCATCGAAGCACTCTCTCCCACCCTTCACCCCTTGCACGCTCTTTCACAGTTTTTAATGCAATTTTGTGCATACTTTGAAACCAGTTTAAAATTGTTTAATGCGCCCACAACTCGTTCACCCCAAACCCAAACCCCCAACCCAAGCCCAGCCCACACACCCATCACAGCCATCAGAGCCATCAGAGCCATCACAGCCATCAGAGCCATCAGAGCCACAAAGGCTTACGCACACACACGCACACACACACGAACACCTCTGCCTTTTTGGAGCACTCCGTGCGAGGCCAGGACGAAGTGGCCTGCATGTTTAATGCATTTCATGCATGCAATTTAAGGCCAACTGCATTTTTGGGCCATTTGAGAAATATGTGCAAGTGCCAGTGCCTCGACATGTGCCACTTGGGCTCGCTTTTTGGGCCCGAATGACCAACGTCTGTGGCCCAGCTGCACCAGCCTGCACCACACAGTTTTGCATAAACTCTAATTTCGGAAGGCGCAAACAGCCAAAACACAACAACCCGTAACCTGCCACAGATTTTCTTTTTTTTTGGGGGGGGGGGGAAATTTTTAAAAACCCTTTTTTTGGGGGGTTTTTTTTTTTTTTTTAACAAAATTTTTTTTTTCTCCTTTTTTTTTTTTTTTTTCTTCCCCCCCCCCCCCCCCCCCCCCCCGCCCGGCCAAAGGGGTTTTTTTTTTTCCCCCGGTCCTGTAAAAAATAGGAGTCCAAACGGGGCCTGGCCCGGCCTGGCCTGGCCTGGCCGGAGTGTGCTGCATATCGCTGGCGAGTGCAAAACATAGAAATATTTATGCCTGGTGAGATATTAACGCCGGGAGCGGACTCGTATTTCGACAGCCAGTCCGGGGCTGTTCGGGGCATAAAAGAGATTTAAAGTGGCACTGCCGGGCACTGCACGACACTTTTTACAGCGTCCTTCCCTCGCCACACTGAATGTGTGTGTGTGCTGCGTGCAGTACTTTGTCTGCTTCGTCCAGCTGCTGAAGCTGGGAATTGGCGCTGGAATTGGGGCTGACCCCTGGCTCTAAAACGCAGCGGGGCGGAGGACTGGCGAGGCGGCGTCTTAAAGTTCATTTAGCTGCGAAATTTTCCACAATTTTACACAAGCGTGCACTCTAGTCGAGAGACAATATAAAATCGGAGAGACAGAGAGAGGGAGCTGCGTAGAGCGACAGGGCAGAGCAGGACAGGACAGGGCAGGAGCAGGGGCACGACCAGGTCCCAGCATTAAAGTCTGACCAATTTGGCGTCGCTTCCTTTGTGCGGCTCTGCCCTCGCACCATAAAATGATGATCTGCGAAAATGTCCTTTTATGTCTGTTGGACGCTAAGGACCTGTAAAAGTGTCTCTTAAGAATGTAACTGCAAGGGGCTGGGCGGCTGTGGGGCGGCTGTGGGGCGGCTGTGGGGCGGCTGTGGGGGTCGACTAAAAGCAAAGACAACCAAACCCACCTGGCAGGAGACCATGGCGTGGCGGCAGGACACGTAGTAGGGAGCCAGAATGGCCAGGACCTGCGTCTGGGTGCCATAAAAGATAAAACGAAAGCACAAACGGAAAAGTGCAGCCAGCAGCCAGCCAAGGCGACTTTTGGCCTGTTTGCTGATGCTGCCGTTTTTGCTCAGCTTTTGGCCCCAGCTCCTTGGGGCGTCCTTTTTTGGGCTCGCTCTCTCTCTCTCTCTTGCTGCCGCTCTCTTTGTTGCAAGCAAACTGCAGCTTGCCCCGTTGTTGCAATCAAATTTGTTACGCTGCGTTGGTGTCCCTGTCCCCGTGTCCCCGTGGCACGGGACTTGTGCTCTTGAACTACATGTAGACACCAACCTTTTTTGGGGGGGCATGCCCCTGGCTGGTGGCAGCAGGCAGCAGGCAGCAGGCGACAGGCATTTGCTACGCTTCGCTGCGCTCATTTGTCGCCAAAAGCCAACAATGGCCAGGACTTGCTGGCTGTGTGCCTGGGTCAGACAGTTTTTCCTTTTTCTCTTTTTTTTCCCCCATAGAAATTTTGCGCCTTTAAGCTGCCTTGGAGTGTGTGGGTGTGGGTGTGGGTGGTGGTGAGGGGTGTGGGTACTCTGACAGCAATTTTCACATTGGCCATGTTTGGCGCAGCCCCAAACGATGCCCCAAGGACACCGAGTGCGTTAGCATTGTGCCACACACGCACCGTGGTGTGCTGGCTGGGCCCAAGTACTGACTTTAGTCCACAGACCATTTGACACTCTGCCAGCTCCATAAGCCCCCCTCCCTAACACCGTACGCATTTATTGGCATCCTGGGAGCCATGGGCGCCACCGTATAGGCGTGAGGGGCAGGCAACACATTTTTATGCTAATTGAAAGCCATTCATATGGAAACAAACTGCCATCGATATCGGGCGTGCAAGGAGGAGTGGCGTGGAGTGTGACCCATTATTGAAACCGAAACAAAACCCATAACTCAATGCTCTTCTTTCGCTCTCATTTACAGGCAGCAACAGCCGCTCGATGAGCAACGTGCAACAGTCGGCGGCCGCACCATCATCGTTGACCGCATCGTTGCCGCGTTTCCTGTCCCGTGGCCACACCTATCGCGCCGTGGTCGGCGACACGCTCGTCCTGCCCTGCCAGGTGGAGAATCTGGGTGAGTTTTGATGTCCAATAATGTCTGATGGTTTTGTATAATTAATCCGATGGCATTAGTATTTCGATGCCCCAATATTCGATCATAAAAATCAACAGAGAAGCCGAACAAAAATAATAATAATAATATCAGCGCAGCGCAGCGCAGCGACGTGAAGCAGCATAAAATTATGCAAAAATATATGCAAATATGCTTAGGCAGAATGTCAATTCACATAAATTTAATTTACAACAAAAGCAGAAGCAGCAGCAACAATGCCAACTGGGTAGGCGAAAAAACCAAACAGCTGTCAGCAGCTTGTCGTTTTGGTTTGCTGTTTTGTGCCACCCATCGACACATTTTTCCCTCAGCGCATTTCACAAAAATATTGCAAGCTCACACATATTGGCATTGGCACTGGCATTGGGGCAGCAAATAAATTTGGCTGATTAACGTGCTGCCCAGATGCTGTCCAAAATGCTGTTTAGTTTAGCATCAATTTCCAATATTTGATATGCCAGGATATACAGGAAATATGGGAAATCCGAGCGAGCAGCCATGCGAAAAGGCAGCCGGCCAGCCAGCAGCCATTTTGGTCTTTAAATGAAATGAAATTTGATTGCCCATGGATGCATGAATAGTGGGCAGCTAAAATATGCATCAATTTCGGATATATCTTCGATTGCCAATTGATTGAAATGCAATTTTATAGATATTTTGTGGCAAAAGTCTTAATTAATGAAAGAGGCAAGCGGCAGGAAGCTGTCAAGACAGCAGTCAAAGTCAAATGAGTGGGACGAACCTCTTGCTATACATATATGTACATATGTACATACATACGAGCATTATGTGCTGGAAAACAAGTGCTGGAAAAACTGTTTGTCTGCTTGGGTGCGCTTTGTTTGTGTGCAAACAAACAGCAGGGTTGGCCGGGGGGGGGTCTGTGACGTGTTCCAGTTAGGGCTGGGCAACGTACTTTAATCAATTATAGTTCACAATATTTGCTACGACTAAACAGTTCAACTAATATTTGTACCAGCAGCGAACTTCCGTGGTGATTATCGTACGATCCGCTTTAACTTTGACCCAAATGAAAAGTTGCTGGCCGCCCCTAATGGGGTGGGGGTGTGGGGAGCTGCTGGGTGTGCGGCTGGAAAAAGCTTCAATTGCAACTGCTGTTGACATGCCAATAAATAAAATGCAATTAACCGTTCGCAGCAAATGAAAATAAATTGCACATTGATGGCAATGCGACGACAGTGGACAGTGGACGACGGCGGGCACTCCAACTGGCAGATTGACATCAGTCAAAGGTCCTACCAGAACTTTCCCAGGCGAAAGCCTGAACAGGGGACACAGACAGAGAGAGAGAGACGTACACGGTGAAAAAAACTATGCAACTTTCGAAGAGAAAGTAAAACAGTAGATTAAAGTAGATGCTTTACCAAGGGTAAAGCAGACTCCTCCTCCTGCTGCAAATACGCGCAGAAATTAAAAGTAAGCCCTTAGTTTTTTTCTTCAAGTGTAGGCAACAAACAAATGCCGTGAATATTTCCCGTTTGTGCGTTGTTGTTGCATTGAAAAGTATTTTCAATTAATTGGACACACTTTGGCTGCACAGAGATTCACATTAAACTGCAATGATTTCCCATTAACGCATGATGTTTCGACTTGTTGTTTGTTCTGACCAGCTATTTGACACCGATTTTCCAATCTCTCTGCCGCAATCTGCCACGTCAGTGCACAGATTGCAATTTATAAATTTTTGCCTGCATTTATACGGCACGGCACGGCTCGGCTTGGCTCGGCTCGGCCTGAGACCAGGCAAAAAGCAAACACATAAATTTTAGCTTAATGCATGGCGAGAAGCCTTTGAAGTTCGCTCTCATCGATTTCGATTTAAATGGCAATGTAGAAGCAGTGACAGACACACTGAGACTTTAATCGACCAGCAATTAAATTCAAATAACTTTTAACATTTGTTGCTAAATAATCAGGATAATGCCAGAACGACAAATGACAGTGGAGAGTGGAGAGTGGGAGTAGGAGGAGGATTAGGAGGAGTAATTCTATAGCATAGACAATGCATCGATTGCACTTTGTTCTGTTTGTATTTCTGGTTTTGATTGTCACTTCTGTTGCTGTTGCTGTTGCTGCTGCTGTTTTTCTCTCTAGCTGTTTCTGTTTCCTTTGCTGCCTCTCTCTCTCTCTGCTACTGCTTTTTGTTCGCTGCAGTGTCATCAATCCGCATCAGCTTTTAGCTGCGTTCGGTTTGAGGGCGAGGGTTTGATTTGCAGCAGATCCGGTTAGCTCTCGCCCCAGCGAGGGCGCGAGGTCAAGCAGAAGGTGGAAAAGCCCTTAATCCAATAAAAGAAATTAAGTATCAAATGGTCTATGAAGCCGTTCATTGATTGCACGTCGGAGAGTCCATACATACACACATACATACATATGTGTATATGTATGTGCCAATCAAATACGTATACGTCATGTTGTCACCCGTTGAACGGCGCACCAAAAGTGCTGGTCAATAAATACTGAGCACCGTTTCAAATTGGATTTTCATTGGTCTTGGCTGGGGGTGGGGGTAAGCCAATCCCATAGAAGATATTGACTTTCCAAATTGCCTCCACCTCCCGCTCCCCCACCACCACCACAGACCCATTGAAAACGGTTGAAAAGAATAAGTAATTCATTTAGGAATGAACCCGTTTCGGCTGTGGCTACTATCTCCGAGCAGGAGAACGAACACGCAGCCAGCACTCAAGCTGCGGACAGCATAAACCCAACCCAAAAACGATGGCCATTCTGTGGCGGGCAGGGGGGATGGGGTGCTTTAACGTCCAATACAAATTCATATGTGAATCATATTCATTGACGAGCTATAAAATGAAATTTTTATTGCCTGCGCTGCCGCTGAAACTCGGTCTCTGCTGCCAATAATATCAATATACGACGCAGCGCAGCGCAGCGCAGCTGCCATTGGAGTCTAATAAAATGCAGGACCCACCGAGTATGTTGAGGGGACTAATATAAAATCAAAATAAAACCCACCACCACCTGCAACCACCAGTCACACACACACACGGACAATCATCCCACAAAATGCCACGGCAATTGCTGTGTAAGACTCAAACCGATTCAATAATAATCGAACCCAATAAAACGATGATTGTGGGCGAGTTTCTGTTGGGTGTTTTGAGTACGGTTCGGGTTTCACTTCTTCGAAAAGGACTTTACTTTAACTTTACTGTGGCTGTGTTGCCTTACGGCTTACGGTATTTGCATTTTGGGATGGGGGGATGGGCCGGGTCTCTGCTTTTTCTTTTGTACTGTTAATAACCGGAAGGAAATTGGCACGCGCCCCACTGAACACGCTCATTATGAGTGCGTATGCATTTTTAAATCGGCCATCCATAATGCATCGCTTTAAGCTGTGATTATTTAATGGCCAGCTTAAGGTAGGCCAAAATGTCAGCTGCCGCCACACCCCTCCCCCAGCCAGCAACAGCAATACAACGACGAGTGGGCGTTCGCCCCCGGGGCTTCGCTCATGCGACAAAGGCCCCTCACCCCACCACCACACGGAACAGAAGGTTGGAAAAATGAAAACATTTCATTAAAATTTTATATTCGAATGCTGAAATCATATTCCAACAAACGGTCGAAGCGGCCAATGGCCAATGGCCAATGGGCAATGGGCTGAAGGACAAACGAGTCCTCTACCCTGCCACACCCACTATTGACCTCCCACTCTTACGTATGTACATACATACATTGGATAAACGTTGACGATGTCGTCGTGTGTTTACACAACTCTGATTTTGGGTTTTATGGCACGTATACGTAATATGTCCATGCGGCGCTTTTTCACGTTTTCCACTCGTACGTACGAGTGGTATATTCCTGTATATTTTCCTGTATATTTTTTTAATATTTCCATAATAAATACAAGTTCATAAATTGTTCGAGGGATTTTTGGGTGCGATGCCTGTCGCTGGCCCTGGCCCTGCGCTCTGCTCTGCTCTGCGCTGTGCCTGAACTCTCGAGCAGAGCACATAAAATAAATAAACATATTATACGCCACTTAATCTCATTTAACAAATTCTCGTTTGCCCTTTTGTGGCAACATCCAACAATAAGAATAAGAATAAAAATAACAAAAACACAAAACAGCAAAAAGAAAAACCAGACGGGGGGTGGAGTGAGGGCTTAGGCAACAAACAAAACAAAAAACTAAAGTGGTATAAAATATGCAAAGAATAACAAAAAAAAAAAAGCAAAGAATTATGCCAGCAACATCTGCAAAATTATGTCATTTATATGAGCAAACATACTAAAAATGAGATGAAAACAGAAGACACACACACACACACACACACAGAGAGGACATACACACACATACGCACACACAGGACACAGGACTCCATGCTAGATCTTGCTGCCATACATAGCCAGCGATTCCGTAGACAAACAGAAGTGAATCTTCACAGCTCAACGGGCGCAGGGAGAGTAAGAGAGAGGCAAGGCTAGGCAGGAGATAGATAGATAGACGTAGATATGCCCCAACATATACATACATACATGTATCCGTATATGTGTGTGTGCGTGCAGACAAAAACTATTTCATCTCTCTTTCACTGCTCTGTCATAGTGACAGCTAAAAGTATATATACGCACACACATTCACTCGCACTCGTGTGTGTGCCATGCCATGGAAAATGTTTCATGTTTATATTGCGGCATTTTATAATACATTTTGTAGCCAACAAGCACAAGATACATTTGACTCCATATATTACCCTCTGTGCTCATGAACCGAACCCCCAACTGTATTCTCTACTGTATTCTATACTGTATTCTACACTGTTTTCTCTCTTCTCCTTACTGCTGCACAGGCAATTTCGTTCTGCTGTGGCGACGGGGAACAAATGTGCTCACTGCCTCCAACATAATGGTTACCAGGGATGAGCGCGTAAGACTGATAGATGGTTATAATTTAGAGATATCCGATTTGGAGCCACAAGATGCCGGGGATTATGTTTGTCAAATCAGTGACAAAATAAATCGTGATCAAGTGCACACTGTTGAGATATTGGGTGAGTACAATGTTGACATTTTGGGCGGCGGCATTAGGGTGCCACACACACACACACACACACACATTAATGCTGCACGATTTACACATTTGACAAGTGCCACACCCCCGGCACTCAGCACTCCACACACTACACACTGCAATACATCAATTAATAACTGATTTAACCCAATTAACTGAATGGCCATTTTCACAGTTCCGCCCAGTGTACGAGCCATACCCACATCCGGACAGCTGCAGGCCCGCAAGGGAGGACCCATCACGCTGGAGTGCAAGGGATCTGGTAATCCGGTGCCAACCATTTACTGGACCAAAAAGGTGGGTTGCCCTCCCCTACTCCCCTACTCCTCTACATTTGTTCTTTGTTGTTCTCTGGCTTGCTTCCCACTTTGCAATTCCGATGGTATTTTTAAGTGAATTTCATTTCAGTTTAATTGAATTGAATTTACCCAACTGTTTCGCTTCGTTATGTAAATTTAAATTGTGTTTTCTCACAGACAAAGGACAGTGGAAAACGTAGAGCGTCGAGCGACCATTGCTAAGCACTTTTCCTATTCACTTTCACGGTTCGAGCTGCCGCTTGGCCACCGTTTCTTTTTGTTTTTGTTTTTTGCAGTTAAGCTCCTTAGCAGCGCTTCTTGGAATCATATTTGGCAGGGGCAGAGAAAAAATGTTTGCACTAGGAAAACTTTTTGTTATTAATTAAAAATAATTCGCCAACATTAAAAATCCTGCACAGCAAAATCGCATTATAAATCAACCAAAATATGCCATAGCATCACTCAAAGAGTTTTCAACACACATTCCACGTTGAAATCTGTACAAAGTGAAATGATAAATTGTAAGGCGGCAGCATCCACAGAAGGAGGGTGGGCCAAGGGGCACACAACCTAGGCAACAGGCAGGCAGAGGCAGGCAGCAGGCAGCAGTCAGGCAGCAACAATCTACGATTGTGGCATGTGGCTGTAATGGGAGGCAATTATGAATTCAACAAACACATAATTTTACGCATGAGCCAACAAAGGGATAACATATTTGCCAGCTATTCAAAGTGGGTCAAATGGGTGTGCGGGGGGAGAGAGGCTGCAGCTCCATCTCCATCTCCATACTTGCCACATCCCCGCTAGCATCCTGTCGGGTTATACAAATGAATTTATGCCGACTTATATGACTTGCAAATGCGGATGCGGCTGCGAGTCTGCGAGTTGGCAATTAGTTTTCGCTGCTAATTTGCAGGAGTTTATCAACTTGCTAACTGGCACACCAGGCACTCAATATATCAATTTCCCCCATTTACGATTTACTATATGGAGTGCAGGTCGCGTGGAGTGCAGCCCCCCCCACCATTACAAATATTCGACATTCAGGGTCTGATTCTGGCATTCATTCGATCCATTTAGGTGCCAGAACACTGAGGCATACAAACTAAATCAATGTCAGTGGCAGGCAGGCAGGAAGGCAGGCAGGAAGGCAGGAAAAGAAGCACCAGAAAGCACTGAGATGGAGAGCCAGAATCTGTTCTGACTGTTGTTGAGGCGTATGCAAACAAGCAAACTGTTCACCCAGTCGAACCTGCAGTCAAATTGTAATTAATGCGATTCATAGACCCACAAAAGTATGCAGACGGGAATGGGTATTGGGACAGGGACAGTGTGTGGAGTGTGTAGTGTGAAGACTGGCAAACAGAAAGTGACCCACTGCCTGTCAGTGTCACTTCAACAGATCGATGCCTTACGGAAACCGAGATAGGGAGAGGGAGAGAGAGAGCGAGCGAGCGAGAGTTGGGGTAGGTGTAGGGGACAGGGTCAACAAGCGCACAAACTTTCAATAAAGCAAGTGTCGGAGCAAGGACTCCCCACATGGGTATGGGGATGGGGATGAGCATGAGAATGTCCTGGAGCTGGCTTCATTTTGGTAAGAGTTCCGTTTGCATTACTCTGCACTTTGGCGCATTTGACATTTCCGTTCGATTTGTTTGTCTGCATGCAGCAGGCAGGGTCCCTGCCTCTGCCTTTGCCTTGTGCCCCTCCTCCTACTCCCTACTCCTACTTCTACTGCTATGCAAGGTACTTGCCAGAGTTGCCATGGCCACGCCCACACCAAAGACACTGCCAAGTTATATGTCATTTCGTTTTGTGCCTTTCCTTTCCGTTCCGTTTCAATCTATCCTCGAGTGTTCTTCGTTCTGGCGCTTCCGCTGCTGCTGCTACTGCTGCCCCAGCGTGGCGTGTGTTCAGGTTGTCTGTGGAGCACACGTTGACACGTGTTCCCCATGGGTTAGGGGTAGGGGTAGGGAGATGTCGATGTGGCAGCCAAATCGGTTGCCAAAGAAAAGACGCTCGCTGGCAGCCAGCAAAAGTTGACTTGCTACAACGCCCATTCGTCCCATTGGGACCTGGGACCTGGGACCTGCCACAGTCGTTTGCCATCGCCTCTGTTCGATGTCTGTGTTTGCATACAGTTTTGCATGCTCCACATCCAATATTTGAGCGCAACTTGACTTTTGCCACGACATTGCACTGCATTCGCCCTCAGCCTGCAACCTTTTCTCTACCCTGCCCCTGTGCCCGCCCGGAGTAAGTTTTTCGCTTGCAGATCTCTGCTCTTCATTGGAGTCTTGTTACTCGTTGTTTGTGTCGCTTTCTCATAGTTTTTTTTTTCGTTTGTCCTTTGACATTTGCTACTTCATTTTCACGTTGCTTCGTTTCGGCGATTGATTCAATTTGTGTGTGGTGGCAACCCTGTTTACAGAGCGTCCTTTGCTAAATCGTTTCCCTTTTTTTTGCTTCTCGTTACAGAGCGGCGCTAACAAGTCCACCGCCCGCATTGGCGACGGACCCATCCTGACACTGGAGAAGCTGGAACGGCAGCAGGCGGGCGTCTACCAGTGCACCGCCGACAATGGTGTGGGCGATCCAGTTACCGTCGACATGCGTCTGGATGTGCTCTGTAAGTATGCCACGAGATGCTCAACTGCTGTGTCCATTAATCACAGCGCGAATAAGGCGGCAGCTAAGTCTGTGGCAAGGGATAACCAAATGCCAGCTGCGATTGTGAAATGCCAAAAACCGCATAACCAAAAGAAAGTGTCCTTCAAGGGTGTAGGCAGGCAGGCAGCCACAAGCTCCCACATGGCTCGTAAATCAGGGAGACGCCACACGGATGCAGAGCTGCGAGCCACACGGATGAGTGCAACAGAATGCAGCAGCAATCGGAGTGGCAATCCAAAACCAAATCGAAGGCTGCGGAAAAAACAATTTGAATGGCGAAAAAGAAAATGAAAACGGAAAATCGAGAGCCCAGAGCCCAGAGAGCTCAGGTCTTAGCAACTGTATATAAATTGATTTTTGACTGTAATCAGATTGCTGCTTTCATGTGCTAAATTCTTTCTCTCCCCTTCCTCTCTCTTTGTATTTCTTTTGTCTTCCATCTCTTCATCATGCAACCTGACGGATGCCTTTGTCTGTGCTTGTGCTTGTGTGTGGATGTTGGTGTGTGTGTGTGGTACTGCCACAGATCCACCGGATATACAAGTGGAAAAGTCCTGGATACACTCGGGCGAGGGTTTCGAGGCGAAACTCGTTTGCATTGTCTACGCTGATCCAGTCGCAACGGTTTGTTTGGCTCTTTGAATGCATCGTTTCATTCGTTCCATTGTATCCAGCAGATAGTTTTTGTTATTTTCGTGGATTTTTAGATTATTACGATTACGGGGCAATGGGCATGGAGCGGTAGCATGGGGCACAGAGCTAGAGCTGTGCCTGCCCCCAACGCTCTGCCCTGCCCAGCCCTTCCCTGTTTTATGCAACAACTTTGTTTTCAGGTCACTTTTTCCTTTTTTTTTTGTTGTTGTTGTTGTTGCTGTTGCAGTTATTCAGCTTTTCGTTTCTTCTTTCAATCCTATCCTTGCACGGTCCTACAGCCTTGTCCTGTTCTGTTTTGTTCTGCTCTGTCCCGTTTCTCTTCTCATGTTTTGTGCTCTGCTGGCTTGCAGTTTCTTATACTGATTTTTTTGTACGTTCGTTTTTTGTTTTTTTTTTTTTTGTAGTTTTCTGTGGCAAATTAATGCCATTTTTATTTGCCCAACTTTCGTTTCTTTTCGTTTGGAATTGTGGCAGGAAAAACTTCTTGCAAGTGGGTCAAATTTGAGCTGAATTTATTAGTTGCAATCGTTGTTGCACTCAATTGACATGTCCTTTATCATCGTCATTGCCACCACCGTACCACCGTACCACCGTACCACCGCACCCAGCTAATCCCCAAATGTCTGCCCACTTGGGCATCTTTCACGCTGCAGGTGTCCTGGTACCAAAACTCATTTCCGATACAAACGACCGATAGACGAATCATGAACACCCGGGCCAATCGTCACACACTCACCATACGCCACATCCAGCAGGAGGACTTTGGCAACTACAGGTGAGGAATCGAGTCCTGCTCAACATTGCAGATAGTTTGCAGCCGTGGAAGTGAAGGGGCGTGAGGCAAAACTTGGCCGGGGCCAGCGTTGATTTAGTCAATTTGGTAACTTTTTCTACAACTTATTTCACTTTCTGCCATGCCATTCCCACTGAGCCACTGAGTCGCTGAGCCACTGAGAGAGGGGTTCAAAGTTCCCAGCTGACTGACTGACAAGCTGGAATCAGTCCGAGAACAGCCATCGAGCCATGCAGCCATCGAGCCATGCTGAAGCTGAATACAAGTTGGGCGATGCTTTATTTGCTATATGCTTCCAGCACCCAGGGAATTCTCCGTGTGTCCGTCCAACTCGTATATATGTGTGGGTGGCAGGGGGTCTGGGTCTAGCACTGGCACTGGCACTGCCACTGGCACTGGCACTGTGTCTGTGTCTGGGCGTGTAGCTTGCCCATTTTGCGGACAAACAAGTTTTCCACATCAATGTCAATCTGTCTGAAACATATTAAAGAAGCGGAAGTTTCGCCATGTTGACACAACATTTCATGCACAAAGTTTTAGCCATCTTCCATGGGAATGATGGTGGGGTGGAGTGGCAGGGCGGTGCCACCTGGCCCACCCCACAGTGAGTGGCTTTTGTGCACACGACGTGTCGACGTGTTTGGATTAGTTGGAGTCGACTACTCGCTCAGTCAGTTGCTACTGCCACTGGCACTGGCACTGCCACTTGCCGACTGCCAGTTCGATGCGGGCTCATTGCCACCGACCCGACCCGACCGCCCGCCCGCACATTGTGCCAGGGAGTTGAGGGTCAGGCGCACAGGGCGTATGAGTAATGTTGTCAGAATTTAATGCAAAATTAAAAGGAAATGAGATTTTTTTTTTTTGCTTTTTTTTTTGGTTGCATGGCAAACATGACACACGAAGAAAATTAGCAACGGAAACCCCAAAAGCCAATTAACATTAAAGTCAAATAGGATAAGCCACACACTCCACAGGGAGTACTCCTCTGTGTCTGTGTGTGTGTCTGTGTGTACTCCATTCCCGTGCTAATTAGAAATCGCTTTCAGCTGCGTGGCCGACAACTCTTTGGGACGATCGCGCAAATACATGGAGCTATCGGGACGTCCTGGACCCGCGGAGTTTTACTCGCCCAAGTGGGGCCGCTCGCCGGACAGCTACAATCTGACATGGAAAATCGATAGCTACCCGCCGCTGGAGGAGGTGCGTCTGCTCTATCGCCGTGTGCTGGTAAGTGGAAGCGGAAGGAAGGGGTAGCCAATGGCCATCCGAGGGTCAATCAATGGGTGGAGATTTTTCTTTTTTTTTTTGGGTTCTTGCTCTCTCAATTAATTAATTGTGAAATATGCGCAAAAGCTGCAGCAATCTAGACAATGCCGAAACCTGCCGCAATGTGGAAGGTAACCCGATGCCATGATGCCACAGCGTTGGGGTGGGGAGACGTCGTGACAGGCGACAGGCGACAGGCGACAGAGAGTGAAATGTGCACACTAATGAAGCACGTGATTAAAATAATATTTCGTACGAAAATTTCTAAAAATCGAGCACAAAAAAAAAACAGACACCAAATACCCATGGAAATAAAGAAGCTCGCATAAAACGGCGGGCGCTGAAAACGAAGCAATTATGTTGGAAATACTCGTAAAGCAAAGTGAGAGACAGAGTCAGAGAGGTAAATACAGAGTCAGAGGTGGAGTCAGAGGCAGAATCAGAGGCAGAGTCAGAGGTAGAGACAGAGACAGAATCAGACACAGAGTCAGAGACAGAGTCAAACTCAGGGGAAGCAAAGGTAAAAGGTAAAAGGAGCACAGACAAAAGTGATTTTTAATATCAACGAAAATGTCGCTTAATTGCAACTTGTGGCTAAAAGGGAGAAATCGGAGTACGAGTGGGTGTGGGGTGGGGAGGCGTAATATTTAATGAGATTTTCACTTACGCGCTCTTGACGATGAATGTCAAACTGCACAGTGGCCTGGTCTGGTCTGGTCTGGCCTGGCCTGCCACGCTGCGAGTGCTCGGCGGCTATATTTATGTGGAAGTGGGCAGCCCTGAAGTGCAATTATTGGTAGGATATTCGAGAGGGCTGGGGGGACTGGGGCTGCTTAATTGATGATGTCGCTGTCATAAATGCATCGATCGGATGGAATGGGATGGGATGGATGGGTCATGCCTGGGTCTTGGCTTGGGTTCCTGCGGCAGGACATGAAATTAATTAAGGAAATCAAAGGAAAAACTGTCAATGGTAGAGTCTGACACTTAATTTGCTTCTCTCTTGTTCTCTCTTCTCTCTCCCTCTCTCTCTCTTTTCACACTGATAGATGAATGATACCTTCCAGCAGCCGGGCAGGTGGCACGACTTTATACTCACACCCGAACACCGACCGGCCTCGGAGCCCCTGACACACATCATGTCCTACACCATTAAGAATCTCTATCCTGGGGCTTACTACGAGGCGATTGTGCAGGCCAAGAATCGCTATGGCTGGAACGAGGTGAGTTCTCTCGATGTTCGATGCCAAAAGACCTGGCATTAATCTGAGTCGCCGTCCCCTCCACCCACACAACACCCTGGACGGTGTTCGATACTCTGTCTAAATTGCACGCACACGCCCCCTTTCCAGTTCCCGTTCCCTTTAACGTTCCCTCTCCCACTCCCCTGACCGAACACTGCCACACGAGGCGGCTACTTAATCTTGATTTTGTGCGACTTTCTGTGTACTCAACGCTCGCCGCTTTGCTTGCACTTTCACCCCTGCAGGTCAGCGATATATTTCAATTTATCGTCGCCAGCAACAGCCTGGACATTGCCCCCGAGGACGCCGAGGTGGTGGCCAGCTCCAAGTCGCGCAGCAACAGTGGAGCCATCAGCAGCCTACAAGGCCCACTGCCCCAATGCCTCCTGCTACACATGGCCCTGCTGTTGGCACTGGCCTTGAGTAATTGTCAGTACGACAGGCGTCGACTGGGCCTGGGCCTGGGCTAAGCGACACACACCCACACAGAGATCCCAACACTAGAGCAGCAGCAGCAGCAGCACCGCCAGACGAGGCAGCTCATAAGTACGGGGGCATGGCATGGCATGGGAGGCATTGGCATGGGTGGCCAGAGTGTGAAGAGTCAGAAAACTTCGTGTACGACTGGGCCGTCATTTAATTTGTTGGAATTTTGTACATCTGTTTGGATTGACTACCGCTAATTGTATTCTACCCTACCCAACCCCTGGCCAACCACTTCCTACCACAACAACTACAGCAACTACAGCAAGCTAACCAAAGAGCAAACACCAAACCAAACAGTAAAACTAACAAAAAAAAAAAACTACAACAACTAAGAAAGAAAATGGGAGAGAAGAGAAAGAAAAAAAAAACAAGCAACACATGTAAATAATTTTTGAAGAGTTTTGTCCACGATTAAATTAGCACACATATTAAATGGAAAATGGATAATGCAAAATGCAAAAATGGTAAATGGTTAATCGAAAATGGAAAATATGCAAATCTGGTATTAAAACAAAATCCCCTCCCCAAAAAAAAAACAAACCAAAACCCCACAATGATAGCATAAGCCACTCGAAATAGGTCATGTAAATAAGCATTAGATATCTGAATGTGAATGTGAACTACATAAAGATGAACTCCATCAAGATCCAGAAATTATGTGTATGTAAATTAAGCAAACAACATTATATAGTGATATTATTTAACATAAAAAAAACAAAACAAACAAAAAACAAAATATATATATATTATATCGGTGGGTGGTGGTAAGCCACACCGCGACCTAATGTTAGTTTGTAAATTATTTTCCATATTTGTGTTTAGATGCCCCCCTACCTACCCTACCCTACCCTATGGATTGCAGTTGTTCATTCTTGTAATTGTAATTGTAATTGTAATTTTATTTTAGCTTGTAAGTGCACACCAGCAGCAGTAGCCCAGCAAAAAGAAGAGGCGACGTCATACCAAAACACCACAGCAAAATTTAATATAATGTTTTCTTCGATGTAAATTAGAATTTAAGCAAAACAAAAAAATGTTGTACCACCAAAAAGCGAGACGAAACGAGACGAAAAAACTAAACTAGGCTAATAATAACACTTTGCTCCCACAAAAAAAAAAAAAAAAGAATAGATAGAAGAATACAGGATAGAATAATACTCTACGCGTAATCGTATTTGAATGTGAAATATTTGCATATTGCGACACACATACACGTACATACTCGTAACGATAGGCAGGCACTGTAAATACATTGAACGAATACTTACTTATTGACTGTTGCGAAACGAAACAAAACGAAACCAAGAGCAAGCATTTTATCAGCTTTTGCACCATTTTTCAATTGTACGATCCATAACAGCCGTACAGCCGTTTTGTTCTAGGATCACGCACACCACAGCTCTACCACACACACACACACCTGTACATTTTTAGCCAGCTGAACTCCGAAAATAAAGAAACCGATAGCCAGAACCGAAAACATATGAAAATCAAAGCGTTACAATTTATCCACATAAATGTGTATGTATGTATGTGTGTGTGTACCTAAACATAGCCAGATGAAAGCAGAGAAGCAGCGAAGGAAAAAGATTAACTACAGAATAATCTCTCAAATAGCATAGGAAGGGCAACCGAAAGAGTCTCGCAAGTGGTTATGGTTATTCTGCCAAGGAGTCTGTCTGCCACATTTTAGCGCAAGCAACTAAACTCTAACACATACTCGTGCAAGTCCGAAAATATATAGATACACAGAAGGAACAGAAGTAATAGCAGAGCAGAGAAGAGAGCGGAGAGCACCACTTGGATGGCCAACCGAGCGGTGAAGCATGTTCGTTCATTAATTACTAACTACTTAGTACGATGCTAATTGTATGATTAATGCGCATAAGAAATCCCTAAAATATCCAAAAATTATAAATAAAGCATTAGATGTAAAAACTAAACACTGCCAAATTGGTTTCATTTCCCCCCGCCCGCATTTTATAGGTCAAATCGCTGCCGAAGAACCACTCCACATTCGATGAGGCATGCCTCATGCAAGTTTAAGCACAGTCTCCAAGTGGCGGGCATGAAATTTAAATGTTGCAATTGCCGACTGCCAAGTGGCAGACCGGGCCGGGACCGGTCCGGATCGGTCCGGACCGGACTGGGCAACTTTCTGAACAATTTTGCAAAAGCGAAGAGTTTTTTTTTAATATATAATCGTCAATGGCACTCGCGCCAGCCCAAGCCTAGGGACCTGCTCAGGCACTTCTCCAATATTTTTTCATCATTCGAACTAAGGACATTACCTCGAGCACTTCTAAGCTTTTGCAAGCACAGCGGGCTGACCAGTGGACCAGGGACACACAGGACACAGTGGACATCGGAACAGGGGGGCATACGTGCCCGGCTTAAATTATTAAAACTTTTGCATTTCGCAAAAGTTTATGCATGAAATTTCATGGGGCGCACAAACTCCTTGAGCTGCGTTTTTCTACAGCGTTGTCGTAGTCGTCGTCGAGTGAAGGCATCGTTGAAGGCGGGACGGAAGCTAGGCAAAAATTTTGCTACCATTGCTGCCAGCAAGTTGCATTTGGAACGCAACGGAACGAAGCGGATGCCCCGGATGCCGCTGCCAGTTACAAGTTGCCGTTGCCTCTCCCGTTGCCTCTGCCGTTACCTCTGCCGTTGCCGCTGCCGTTGCCTCTGCCGTTGCCTCTGCCGTTGCCTCTGCCGTTGCCATTGCTGCACTCCTGCCGTATCCTGACGGTATTTGCATGTTGCAAGTAAGCAATGCGTCGTGTGGGAGTGGCACACTTGAGGGCCCCAACCCCACCCCCCTCCCCACCTCTGCAGCCCAGCCCCTAGTTGAGGCACACTGCAAAACTTAGTGACCATTATGCATGCAAGTCTCAATATATTTCACATGAATTTTAATGAAATTTGTGTCGTTGAACTGGCCTGCCCCGCAGCTCTCCTGTTGGTCTTGCCGCTGCCCAAGCGGGCGAGGGTGGACCCCCCTGTACCCACCCTGGTACATGTCATGTGCTATGGTACAGAATTTTTGTGCAAATCATATCGCATAATTGGAAAGCCACAAGCGACTATTTCCAGCTATTTGCATTGCGAAAATCTTGTGCCATTGGTGGCCCTGGGACAAGTTTTGGCGCATATTAATTAGCTCGTTTATCATCTGAACACTTTCCCGACAGCCCGAACAGCGTCGTACTCGAAGCAATGTAAAATTAATTAAGTTGCGCCACAAGGAAACTTTTTCCGCTCTTCCTCGCTGCGCCGCGCCGCGCCTCGCCACTACTCTCTTTGCCCATCCACTACGCTGTCGCACATGGAATGGAGTGCAATTGGTATTCATTTCAAATGTACTCTGAAATAGGAAAGGGAAACACCCAGCAACCAGCACCCAGCATCAGGCGAAGCAAAAGCAATAAAAAAAAAATTTCTGGCAAAAGAAACTGTTAACTAACGAAAATGAAATCATAATTAATATTGGTGGAATCGGCAAAGTGCAGAGCTGCCACTGCCACGCAGCCGCACCCGCCACCCCCACCAATGTTGCACTAATAACAGTTTGAAATGGCTGCGATTCTCCTGCCACTGCCCCCGCGCCAATCCGCAGACAGGACGAGTCAGTCAGGCAAGCAGGCGTCAAGGCGAGCAAGATTCAAACTTTTATAATTAAAATTTTGCAGCTCAGTATTTTTGGATGTTTTTTCCTTTTTTTGTTTTTTATTTTACTTTATTCGCTCGCCAAAAGAATAAAACGCAGGCAAATCATAAAGCTACAGTGGGTGGGCGAAACTTTGCCGTTCGAGTGGGAATTAAATTAATTTTCAACTGATTTGATTTCTGCATAAAGTTATTGCTAAAATGTAAGTTTCAGCCATTGCCAATGGAAAAGTTTTGTCCCGTCCGGCAATCAAATGAACAATTTTTGGCAGAGAATGCGATCGAATTAAATTAACAGAGACAAAAAGGGGTACAAAGAAAAGCCAAAAGAATTTCATATGTTGCGCCACCGACCAGAGAACAAAGGCAAAGACACCACAAGCACAGCACACAAAACTATAGCAACAGAGAGCTGGCCAATAGACCGGCAGCAGCAGCAGCAGCCCCAGCAGACCCTGGCCAGAATGCGTTGCCTGGCCAACGCACAATAACTCAATGAAATGGGCCCAGATAGGAGTCTCAGGGCCAGCACGGGCAGTGCTGTGACCAAAACAAATTTACATAATTCCTCAGTTGGCTGTGCCGCCAAGTGAGAGGCGGCGTTGTCTGATATTTATGGAGGAAACTTAATGGCGGTTTAAAACGTTGCAGCCGAAAGCAGGAAAAATCGCTGTCGGATCCCATCTCCATCCCACTCACAGCCACACACTCGCACAAGCATTATGCTAAAACAAATCTACATAATTTAGGAGTAGGCCGACAGGACGGAACAACAACAAAAATGGCAGCAGCAGCAGCAGCATCAGCGCTGATGCCCCATGCCTGTCATTGCCGCACAAATCAAAAGGCAGCCAGGCAGGCAAGGCGGTTCCTTCGAAGAAAATTATTTGCGGATGCTAAGAAAAATTTGTACATCAATCGATTTTGTTTGATTTTTTTTTTTCTTTTTCTCTGGTTCTGGTTCTGGTTCTTGCTGCCACTTCAACTTCCATTTCTCCGTTGAGTTGGCCACAAGAGATTTGCATAATTCATGGCGCTGATGGCTGGTGAGGATTTCCAGGATGGGAAGGCTCTTCTTCGAGAGCTGTGTGGCTGAGTTATTGGGTGGGGCGGGATGTGTCTGCCTGATTGCTTTGAGTGGCTCATTTCGCACAGCCTGCACCCCCCCGCGCCCATCCGCCATCCGCCCATCCGCCGTTGCTGGTTCGGGCGGGCAAATTGGAAAAGTATGTCTAAGGCTGACACCCTCCGCCCACCGACCCATCGACCCACCAATTCCAAAGAAGTTCTGCTCTTCTCAGCTCAGCTCTGTTTTGTTCTGTTCTGGCATTCGAGCCATATAATTTTCGCCTTGGCCTGCGTGTGGCACGTGAGTGGAACATGTAGTTTTTTAATCAACTTGCAACATGCAAAACCAATGACAGTCGCTGTGCCTGCTGGCTGGCTGCTGGCTGGCTGCGTGCCGGGGAACCGCTACGCTGGCCGAAAAGAAAATACCAACGAAAAGCAAACAAGTTATGCCGTCAATTTCAATTTATATTCTAATGACATATTGTTCCTGCCATTGTCAATTTTTGTTGCGCGTGTCACAGAAACCGAGTCGCAGATGGAAATGGCAATGGAAATGGAAATGGGTAGCTTCGTGAAATTTAAAAACAATTTTCAAAAACTTACCCCAGAGATTCCGTATTATGTTTAACTCATTTTCATAAAGCGCGGACAGAAACAGGCTGGTGGGGGGCTGTACGGTGGGGCAGGCTGAAATTATAATGCGAAAACAGCAACAGCGGCGACACCAAAGCGCGACAAAGTTCAGGCAGAACAAAAGTTTATCTCGTACTTTGTTTGCATACACAAAGCCCCGGACGGAGAAGAAGCTCCGCTCAGCTCTGCTCTGGTCTGGTATACTCGCTTCTGTTCTGGCAATCGTTGCATGAAATTCAGCGCAGGAAACACTGCTTTGCGGTGGCTGCCATCTCATCTATCCACCCAGCCACCCAGCCAGCCAGCCAGCCAGCCAGTCATTCCTTCTGTGGGATAAAACAATGACGCCCCCAGGGCTGAGCGTCGAGTGCTGAGTGCCGTGTGCCATGTGCCGTGTGCCGTGTGCCGGGCGTTGAGCGATTTCTTTTCATAAAGATAAATGCCAGAAAGTTGAGGCTGGCTGGCTGGCTGCAGTTTGCAAGTCGTAGTACAGCAATCTGACGCCGCTTCAGGAGCTTCAGCACGAGCTGCGCTCAGACCGCTACGCGCGAGAGGGAGAGAGTGAAGCTTAGTTCGACTGCTGCTGGGATTCTTGCCTGGGGCTTTGTTAAAGCTCGCCTCTCTCTCTCTCTCTCTCTCTCTCTGTCTGTGTTTCCGTCTCTCGATCTCGCTCGCGCGCTCGCTACTGGCGAGAGCATTAATTCGGGCATGTAAAATAATTTACGGCGCTGCATTGCAAATGACATTGACTTTATACTTTTGCAGCTTTGGTACCCAGTACTTGTTTGAGCAAAGGGTGTGCCTGTGATCTGTGTAACTGGTAAATGGCCCATCAGTCAGCGTGTGTAGAGATTTCTCTGTAGAGATTTCTCTGCAGCGAAAACTTCCACTGCTGATTCTTTACATTTTAAATTGTTACAAGTTGTATGCCACAAATGAAACACACTGCTTCCGTGTAGTACTGGGTATCTTTTAGTCGAAATATGCTCTACAGTGCCCCTCTCTCTCTCTCTCTAGTTCATATTTCATTTGAGCAGAGTTCGCGTTACTTGCACTGCGTCACGCTCGCTTCCGCGGCATCGCCTGTGTGGTGAACATTTCGTCGTATGTTGCATGCGCCGCCCGTCCAGCCTGTGCCGAGAGCTGGGCCAATTGACCAATGGCTGCTTATCAGGCGAGAACATGGTTCTATGGAATTTCATTAGGCTTCACCTCCTCCGTACCCACCCTGCTGCCCTACTCGCCCACGCTGGCTTGCTGGCGGACTTGCTGCTGCTTTTCTACTGCCTGGTTAATGGTCGGTTGTTGGCCTTTTTTATTACCTCATTGTTCGTTGTACGTTGTCGCAACAGCCGCGCTGGCCTAATGGCGTTAGTTCGTTAGCCAAGCGATAAGATTGCCCGCCGAAGGGGGGCCATCTCCATGCCAAGCAGGCGGCAGGCAGGGCAGGGCAGGAAGCCCTTTAATTATGAGAAGTAAAATCCAGTTTAAATCGGTGACCCTTGCCGTCAAGTGTCAGACTGGGATTCCTCACTTTTATTACATTTCTCAGTACACTTCCACAACTAATTTTTGTGATTTTGTATAAGTTAGCATAAAAAAAATCATTCGTTGCCATTATGGGCACTTCACTTGGTAAATTCCTTAATAGGAGTCCCGAATGTCATTTCAACGGCTACCGGAAATTCTTAAGATCCTACAAGCAGAAGCACTCGGAATTGTCGCAGCAGCAGGCGAACCTACAGGCTGCACAGAACTGGGGCAAACTCTCCACATCGCAGAAGATGAGCTTTGTCGATGTGGTAAGCGGTGATTAACCATTGACATACCATTGCATAACATAACATAACAATTCCTACAGGCCAATACAAATTATGACAAATTGGACATGGGCAACCGCACTAAAGCTAGGTCCAGGCGTCGCAGCAACAAGAAGCGCGGAGGCGCCTTGGGCGTGAAAAACTCCACGTCAAGCGTGAAAAACTCCGCCTCTACTGTTCTTAACTTGATTGAAAACGCTGATATTGGTGTCCCCGCCTCAACTGATCTAAACTTGATGGAAAACGCTGATAGTCGGTTCCCCAATTTCATGAATCAATATCGTTTAGCGCACGCTGAACTCACCGCGTCGGACCTACATCTGAAGGGCTGCAATGCCTGGAGGGCACTGACCGAGCAACAAAAGAGTCTGTTCAAAGATAGTCCCAGCAATGCGGAGCTGCTGGAACACTGCACCTGCTCGCCTAGAGATTCCTGCTAAACACACAAAACTTTACTCAATAAATGGCCCGCCCGCTCGTGCATGGTCGCTTGTCACGTGAGAATCCGATTCGGAATTAAGCTTAGCCAAGCGCTTACACAATCGCAGTCTGTCCGGGCTTTCGATAGGTTCCCGAACACGTGTACTCCTGTCACGAGTTTTGCACGCAACTGCCGCCGCAGTGGCACGAGAGCTGCGCTCTAGTCAGAGCAACAGTCAGCCCAAAGTCAGAGCCAAAGCCAAAGCTGGAGTTTGAGTCTGAGCCACAGCTACAATCATTCACATTTAAATTAACATTTCCCGGCCAGCGATTATCCTAATTGGGAGCTGGCCTTAGCCAACTACTAGTAGTAGTTGCTGTCCCGTCCCTGTTCCCGGTCGCTTGGGCCACTTGTTTGGGTGGGTGGGTGCCAGGTACAGTCGGCACGCGAAAGTCTGTTGAAAAATGGATTTAATGTGACGCAAAACAAGCGCGGCGGACTCATAAAAATGAAATGGAAATTAATCAAATTAGCATTTTGTACAAATAGCAGAGCATTACATTGCTTATGCCAGCGATTTGTAATGCCAGACTTGCGGAAGGAGGAGGATGTTGCCTGATGGCTGTAGACGTGGGCTGAAGACGTGGGAAAAGTCGAAAATTACTGGGGGAAAAGGCCGTACATGCAATCCGGCCACGCCAAAAAGTGATTGCATAATTACTCAGAGGGGCAGGGCCCAAGTGTGCCAAGTGGACCACAAAAGTATCTCCGAATGAAAATTTAAAAGTAATGACCACCGCCTCAGGCCACCCCCGAATCAATTAGGCAGCAAGCAGGGGGTAGGGGGCAGGGGCAGCAGACTAAACCTAAACCTAAACGCTGCCGTCCTTCGTCCCTCTGCGAGGGTCAGCCTCTGAGTTGTACTTTATTTTGGGCTATATTTTTGCTGCCAAACGTACAAACATTTGTGTGCTCTCCTTGTGCCAGTTTATTGCAACACAATGGTATTTTAAGTGCAAACAATAAAAATGATTTATGAGCACACAATGAGAGCCGCCGCCCCACCACCACTCCCCCGTCTAAGGTGAAGAGCGAGCCAAGTGAGTCGTGAATATGTAGCAGTTCCAACAGCCAGCTCGGTGCTCGGCATTTTGTTTCAGGTGTAATTACAAATAAAAAATGCATGCCAACTCGAATGCTCCATAACAAATTGAATGATTCCTTGTTTCTGTTTCTATTGGTGTTTCTGTTTCTGTTTCTGTGCCTGTGCTGTGCATCTCCCACCCACCGTCTCCCACCTGTGCCCGAATACACGATTATACACTTAGGCTGAATTATTTAAACGGCTTTTGGGGCAGCATGTCTGAAATGTTCGATATTCATTAGGGAGAAAGAACAGCCAACAGCCTCAGCAGAGGCGAGCATTTTACTTGCTAAGTGCAGCCTGCTGCAGGGCAACAATGAAAGGAAAGCCGTACAAGAGGAGGGAGGGCAAGGAAAAACTATGCCAAATGTGCAAGATGAAAACTTTTAGGAAAACAAAGAAACACCCACAGAGTGTGAGACAGAGACACAGTGAGAGAGGGGAGGTGTTAAGAGAGCAGAAGAGAGAGCAAGCAAAAAGTAATGTCAAATGTGGGTTAATATGATTTATGGAAATTTGCCAGCTTCGCATTGGGAAAAGCACTCGACCCGCTCAGCCTTTGCCAACTCAGGTGGCTGGCCCAGCTATTCACATTTGCGTTTAGCCCCTCCAGGTGGAAAGACCGTGCACACACACAAAGTCGTTTGTGGCGCTGACTCCTCTCCTCCACCACTGCCGTGTCTGGAACATTTTTACTTTTTGCTCAAATTTGTCAACTGAAACAGTTGACGTGAGACTCAATGCAGCCACCAGCTCCGCATAATGCCAGGCATTTTTGGTGTCATTGTTAAGGAGCAGCAGCAGCCGCCCATCCACAGACATCCCAAAGCAAGCACACGGAGACAGAAACAGGGTGAGGAGAGACAGGGAGAGAAAGAAAAGCCAAAAGGCGTAGACTCGACTCCATTTGCCTGTCTCTGGCAATGTCAGTGTCATGTTGGGAGCTGCGCTCGACACTGCTCCTGGTGAAAGGTTTTTCATTTGACAAATGCTGATTAAGCGGCCGACTGAGAGTACAAAAATATTTTCTTATAAGCAGGCAGAGAAGGTTAGGAATTACACACGAGAAGTGGCAGTGGAAGTGGATCCTGAATGCCTGTGTGTGTGTGCACTTTAGATGTCTGGCCATAGTCTAGGCCCATTCAATCAAGTCTCATCTCACCCGGTGAGTGGGTTCCCGGGCACCATAAAGATGTCCTCCCCGCCCCCACCGAAAATGTTTTGCAGCATTAACCAGATTGCTGCTGTGAAATCTCCAGCGTGGAGCTGGCAGAGTTTGGCCAGATTGAAAAGTCAACATGGCCAAAGGTGACAAAAAAAAAAACACACACACACACAAAAAATAAATAAATGGACATGACACGCATATTTAATACGCCCCCCCAAATACACCCACCCCTAGAAACGTACAGCACCCAACCACTGAGGCGCGTGGCTTGTGCCACATTTTTGGCTGATAGGATCGCTAGGCGCAGTGGCAGTGTCAGCGGCAGGGGGCAGGTGGCAGGGGCAGGGGCAGGGTTCGCCCTGCTTGTCATGATATTTGTGTTGCCTTTTCAACTGATTTTATTGTGTGAATATGTGGCACATTATTCATGATTAGGTTGAGGTCGTTTGCTAGTCGTTTTTGTGTATGTGTGTGCTGCGCCCCCTAACTGTATGTGTGTGTGTATGTGGAGTGTTTACCCACTTTGATTGCTTGACAAGGTGGCTGTCCCCTCTCCTGTCCTGTCCTGTCCTGTCCTGTCCTGTCCCACTCGTGGAGCATACGCTGCGTAACCCTGTCCCTTCGTCAGTCTGTGGGGGCGTAATTAGTCGCTCAAAGTTACGCTCTCGGCTCTACGCTTTTCGGTAAGCAAAAAAGCCAAAACGCTAATGAGGCCAATAACTCAATTGCGGCTAAATGAAGGGACAGTCACACAAATCTCAGAAGTTTAAAACGTTTACACACCATTTAAATCAAAATTAATGTCCGATTGCAGGCGGAGTGAAAACCTCGTACCTGCCAGGGGAACGGGAACGGCTGTAACTTCCAGCCGACTCGTGGCAGGGACAGCAGCAGTAGTTGTATTAGCTCTGGAAATCATTTCATTTTAATGACTCCACGCTTCGAATAAACTTTTTAATTACAAACTTCAATTACAATTAACGAGCGGGCAGCTAAGCCAGAAAAGAAAGCCCGCAAAGGGACAGGGACAGGGACGGGGTCTGGGGGCTCAGGGCTCAGGCAGGGCAGCCCAGCTCAGCTCAGCCAGAGCAGCAAAGATTCTGCTCCGTATAGCTGTGTTGTGTGTATTTTGCTGGCTATGGCTACGGCTCCGGCGTTTGCATAATTGCCTCGGACCAACTACGGCCAAACGGGCTGACAATGACGGGCACAAGGCACTGGCTAAGCTGCTGCTGCTGCTGCTCTTCCTTGGCCCTGGCAAGCAACCCATCCATGGATAATTAAGAATAATAATTACCTCCCTTTTTCTGCAGTTTATCTGCGTCTGTCGGGCTCACATTTTTTTCATTTTCTCGGCTCGCCAGACATATACCCAACCCAAAGCTGCAAATAATGTTCTTCGGGCATTGTAGGGCTGTGTGTGGTCTCTGCACAGAAAGCGAGTTTAAGTATACATCGTATAACTCGAAATATACGAGTATTTACCAATTAATGTGTTAATGCACTCGTTCCCTCCGATTGCCCGATTCTATATGCAAATTTAGTCGCAATTTGTTTGCTGACAACTTCTTTCAGGCTCTCGCTCTCTCTCTCTCTCCTCTCTTTCTCTGGCTGTGGCAGGGGAATAAAAAACTTTCTGCGCGAATAAAATTTAAATTGAAACTCAAAAGAGAACACGAAATGTCAGCTTTAACTTTATGCGTTATGTGCCGACGTCTCCCTACCGTTCCTACCCGCCCGTTCCACTCTTCTAGCAAGTTTCAGCGGCTATTTGTTCTGGCTCCAGCTCAGCATTGGCGTTGGCAATGCCAATTGGCTTGCGTATCCCAACTTTGTTTCACTTTTGTCCCGTCGCGGCTTCTAATTTCGACTTTTTGTCTGGTTTTTTTTTTTTTTTTTTTTTTTTGTTAAAATAAAAACTTTTCAATTTGACTTCTTGTTTGCCGAAATGTGAAAGTTTCGAATGAGTAAAACAACAAAACAGAAAGAAGAACAGAATATCTGAATACCTGGAAACGAACAAAAGACTTGAAATGGCCGGGCTGACAGTTCAAAGGAATCTGTCCAAGGCAGCCTCGGCAATAACTTTATTCAAATTCAAACCACCGAAATAGGTCTCCCCCCCATACGTATCTCTCACTCTTATTTTGGGGGTGGGTGTACAAAAACTAAAGGTGAGTTGTCGCCTAATGGCTGGCAGTTCAATTATATTTTGTTTGGTGGCATTGCTCTTTTTTGGTTTTTCGGGCACTTTTGTTGTCACTCTGCACAGCCGTTTTTTGCGCATACATTTTTCAATTTCCATCAGCAACAACGGCGTCCCAGACAACAATAACCCCAGACGCCTGGCTATTCAATTTTATCAAACACCAGGCAATAAATAGGAGCAGCCAGCTGCTTGCTAGAAAGCAGAGCAATCACTGCGGTAACGCTGCTGCATTATCCCTAGCCCATAGCCCATCATCCGCCCCTGTCAGACACGCCGCAATGTGTGACATTCTTTGCATGTCTTACTGACATTTAACATTTGCGTTTCGTGTTTCATACTCGAAACTCCCATGCTCCCATGCTCCCGTACTCAACTCACGGTTGTGTCTCCTGTGTTTGCTGTGTGGCGGTGGTTTTTTTTGCGGTCCTCGCAAATAGACAATCAATGGCTCCCAGAGCCAAATTGAAACGCAAGCAATGGGTATCACTGTATCGCTGTTATACAAGTTTTAGATTGCGTGTACTCGTACTCGTACTCGTACTGGTACATGTCGCTGTCC